GTTTAAAACCTGAAACACTTGAAGCTGTTGGAGAAAACTGCTGTGTGAGGAATAAACTCTAAGACACAGGCAAGAGCTTTCTAAACAGGAAGCCAACCACACAGGAATTAACAAATTAAGTCTAAGGAATTAAGTCTCAGGAATTAACAAATGGGGCTCTATGAAAGTAAAGTTTCTGCACAGCAAAGATCACCAGCAGAGCGAACAGACAGCCTACAGGATAGAGAAAATCCTTGCCAGCTACCTCAGACTAGAGGCTATTATCTAGAATATGTAAACAACTGCAAAAATTAGATACTCCAAAACCCTGTCAATGAACACAGGGACTAACAAAATGATGGAGTGCGGGGTGGAGGGGTTTCAAAAGGAGAAACACAAGTGGAAACAAGTATTCCAAAAAGCATGTAACAACCTTGTCCATCAGGGAAATGTAGATTAAAGCTACTTTGAGATTCTGTCTCATCCCAGGCAGACTGACCTTCATCCAGAAGTCAACAGCAAAGTGACAGGAGAGGGATATTTCTAGCTGCCTCTTGCCTCACATTGTCTCCAAAGTGGCTTTGTGCATTCGAGAGACTCGTCAATATTAACACAGATCACCTGCCCTGTTAATACCTTTCTTTTGCAAAATCTGGGAAAGTAACAGGATAGAAAGAGTAACAGGTAGTTGGAGAGATGTCTCAGAGGTTAAGAGCACTGACAGCTCTCCCAGAGGTCCTGGGTTTAAATCCCAGCAACCACATGGTGATTCACAAACATCTGTAATGGGATCTGATGCCCTCTTCTGGTGTGTCTGAAGACAGCAACAGTGTACTCACATACATGAAATAAACAAATCTTAAAAAAAATTCCAGTTATGAAGCAGAGAAGTTGTCTCTTTCCAGATAACAAGAAATTCTTGGGAAGGCTTTTGGAAGGGCCATGTTCTTTCTGGACAGGATGTGGGGAAAGAGGAACCCTTATCAACTGCTTCTGGGAATGCAAACCAGTAAAGGCATTATGGAAACCAGCATGGAGTTTTCTCCAAAAAATTTAAAATGGAACTACTATATGACCCAGATCTACCTCTCCTGGGCATTCTCTCACAGAGCACCGGCACTTCCCTGCTCACTGTTACAGTAGTCACAATAGCAAGGACTGGGGCCAGCCGAGTCCATCCCTGGATGAGTGGACAATGAAAACTTACTCATACACAATAGAGGTTTATTCAGATGTAAAGAAAACTGAAATCAGAAATCTGCAAGAGAGTGCACAGAACTGGAGAGTATTAAATGAGATAATCCAGGCTCAGGAAGATAAAAATGAGATGTTTTCTCTCACATTTGGGTTCTAGCGTACGGTTGGTGTGTGTGTGTGTGTTCAGGATCATGAGAGGAGGAAAAAGAGTTGAGGATGAGGGAAGGACACAAGTGACACGAAGAAAGGAACCCGTGAGTGGGGGTGAAAGGGAACAAGGGCGTCAGACAGACACCAGAGCAGAATGGGAGAATCAACTTTATTTTTTTTTCTTGAGGCAGAATCTTATGTCATAATTCTAGCTGGCCCGGATATTGCTAGGTGGACCAGGTTAGCCTTGGATTCACAGAGGCCTTTTGAGTGCTGAGACTAAAGGTGTGCACCACCATGTGCAGCATACAGAAACAAGTTTTAAACAGAAATGCCAGAATTAAATCTAATATATGTACTAATTAAGCACTAATACAAAACTAATTCACCTTTCTGTACCAAGCTCAGATGGTTGATCAAATAAACAAGTGTCCTGGAAGTGGAAGTGGGAGGAACAATCTGCCTGTGTCTCTAGGTCCCTGTTACTATCCACAGAGACCTGGGCAAGCAATGCCCTCTTCCAGGCCTTGGTTTGTTTGGCTATCAAACAAATGGAATTCTGAGTCTCAAAGCCTAGTTCTCAGATCATCAGGAGCTGAGGAAGGGCTGGGCTGGTCCCACCACAACCCTAATGAGTTTAGGGCTAATTCTCATGTTTACTAACATTTCTTTTTGTGGGTACAAACGTATGAAGCTGAAAGACTTAGTCTGCCTAAGGCCCTGCCTTACTCAGACAATCCTGAGAGCCAGGCAGGCAGTACTCCTCCACCCCAGCACATCCACGTCTACTTTGGACTCTGGTTCTCTTTACAGAGACCTTTACAGAGACACTCTGACTAGGTCAGAGTGTATGATGTACAAAGGTATCTCTGTTGTTTGGAGAAAGAAACTTTCTCAAATATGTGGTTGTTCTCAAAGGTTAGTTTGCACATTTCCACACGGCACAGCTACCAAACATGCAACTTTGGACTCTCAGGGACTATTTCAGGTCAGAGGGCAACCCTGTGTCACATAGAAAGAAATCTCAGGGATTCAGAAAAAAAGTGATATTTTGGTTTTAAACTGTGTCCCATCTTAATGCTAGTGAGAGCTTTAGGCCCACTGACAAGTTAGGGTCAAGTCTGATTTGAATGTAGGAATTTCAGTATATTCTCCATGTAAACATGGTGTCCTGTGGCAGGCCACTACTGTCTACACCAGGCAGGAAGTACTGATTGAGCATCCCTAATTTGAAAGTTAAAGTACTCCAGAATTCTTTCTTTCTTCTTCTTCTTCCTTTTTTTTGGGGGGTGTGTGTGTGTGACCATGATTCCACAACACTGCTGCAAGTAGCTTTGTTTCTCACACGTTATTAAGTGCACTGTATAAAGTTACCTTCATGCTCAGGCAATATGGTGTATATGAAACACAAGTAAAGTCTGGATATATACACAAATATTCCAAAATTTGAAAACATATGAAATCTGGACACTTTTGGGTCTGAGCAGTTCAGATCAGGGAAACCCAACCTATAGGTAGTTGTGTTTCTAACTTTGTTAGAAAACCAAACTCATTAATCATTTAAACTTCAGTCTCTGTGGGTTAAACTGTAAGCCCTATGAAGTTCCCCCAAGTGGAGCAGGGAAGTCTAAGCCGGAGATGTTGAAGTGCTTCCTCAGTTGGAACACAGGCCACTGTATTAATCAACTTCGCTCTCAGAAAGCTGACAACAGAACAGGCTTTTGATAGCCTTCCAGTTCTGAAGGGTTAAGTCTTTAGAGATTGTTGGGAAGTGTCTTTGAAGAACCAGGCCCTTTGCATTATTGGCTGCCTTTAAAATAATCTCTCTACTTTTAAACTTTAGTTTTGAAGCCTCTGTTTTTCACATTACATATTTTATGTCACATGTGACAGGTTTATAAATTTCCTGGTTTCTTAGAAGTTAATGGGCATTTAGATTTTTGAGGGCACTAGGCAAACTGCTTGGTTTGTCTTGGTTTCCTGAGCTATGAAGCCAAGGGCAGAGCAGATAGATTCTTGACTCTCTAAAGCATCCATCTGTGTAGAGGATGACACTGTGTAAGAAACATGGGCTTTGAAGATCGAGCTGGGCTAGAAAATTTTGCCTGTTTCCTCAATCATACAACAGAGGCGTGATTTTTAATTTATCAGAACATTACAGTATTTGGCACAGATGAGCATCCCAAAGAGTTCAGACTTCTGGATCTGCTCATCTTCTGTATTGTTACTAATGTCAGAATCCTGGTTAGGCCTCTCCTTACTGACTGTGAGAAGCAGCGGCTGACGATGGAGTTCAGAGACTAACTGCTGGGGGCTGAGGAAAGAAGGACTTTCCCATGATTGAAGTCTAGCAAAGCCAGAGGCTGGATCCACTGCAGCTCTCATCCAAGGCCCTCAGAATTTTAATGTAAATGTTTTAAGTCCTGATTGGAGGAATGGATTTAGAAGTGGATCCCTCTGGATAACTTCAAGTCTTCCTTCGACTGTGGACATGAAGCTTTGGATCTCTGGGTTGCACTTAGAAACCCCATAATATCCTTTATGTGTTGTGAAGATTAAAGACAACGTTGTGCATATACAGTGGTCCCCTGGGTTAACATTGAGGGTGGGTGGGAACTGCCTCGCGCAGAACGCGGATACATATTTCTTCTTGTCACCTCTAAACAACAGCGTAAGCACGAGTGGCTTAGCATTCGGCATTGTGTTAGGTATTGTAAGTAATCTGGACTCCGCACTAGAAGCCTGAAGCGCTTAGCATAGTGCTTCGAAAGACAGGCCACTTTACATCTAGTGATTCTAAAGATTATTAATGAGCGTCGTACATCTGGAACTGACCTCTTTTCCCGCTTCCCGGCCTCCCATCACACTGCAACCCCGAAACCAAGGCAAGGAGCCCCCCCTCCCCACTCCCACGGTTAGGGCCGGCGGTCTGCAGCTCACCTGGGGAGGCCAGCAGCACCTTCGCCCCACAGCACTGAAAGCAGTGCAGCAGAGACTTGGCACGGATGTTGTAGTTGAGGCACGCCATGGGACAGCCCAGTTTGAGCAGTCCCAGCCAGAGCCACACGTAGGCCGGCTCATTGCCCATGAAGAGGGCCACGCAATCCCCCTGTCGCAGGCCCAGGTGATCGTGCAGCGCCCGCGCCACTTGGTTGCTACGCCGGTCCACCTGGGCGTAGGTGAGCGTCTCATCTCGGAACAGCAGGAAGGGCTTGTGCGGGGTCTTGCGCGCTTGCTCTAGGAAGACCCGCAAGATGGTGCGCACGGGCCGCCGCTGCCCGTAGCTGCGCACTTGCCGGGCTATGTTGGCTATCCGCAGGAAGTACCGCACGTCCTGGAGGAGGTAGGGGCAGCAGCAGGTGAGCAGCAGAGGTAGCAGCAGCAACCCCGCCAGGCCGGTGTAGAGCACGGGCAGCATGGCGGAGGCTGCGGGGTCCCCGGTCCCCGCCGGGGCTGAGGGAGCGCTCGAGGCGTGCAGCGCGGCGGCAGGCGGGAGAGAAGCAGAGCAGGAGGTGGCGACCGGGCTCGACCGCTGCACGCGCTGCGACTGCGGGTGGCGGCTCGGCTGCAGGTGCCCGCGGCGCTCGCGGCTGTGCGGGCGGGACGGCCGTGGGTCCCGCCCCCTCGTGGGGGCGTCTCGTGCGCTCAGGGGGCCGCCTCTGCCAGCCTGAGTGGCCCAGGATGCCACAGCACTTGCGTTCAGCGTCTGGAGTCAGGTGAGATCTAGTTATCCGCAAACGAGGATCGCAAATAGCCGAGGTTGAAAAGGTCGGAGGCGGCGACTCAGACGTGAGGCTGTTGTTAGTTATTCTTCTCACACAGCGCCTTTGTTTAATCAAGCACCTTATAAACGCACCGCGACTCTATTAACAGCGGGCACCAGGTGCCACGGCCAACGCAGAGTCCCACCTCCCCTCCTTGGTCCCAGAGGCTTTCCGCTAGATCTCTCTTTGTTTCTCACGTTTGTTTCACAGCTCAGAGAGTATCCTGTGGCGAAGATTTCAAGGTTGAATAAAAGCGCCAGAGATGGTCGCATCTAGCTGTTTCCAGTCTGGGCCACCGCTGCACCAGCCACACCTCTCTAGGTATTTCGAGCCTCGCCTGATTTGGGAAATCAAGCGACGGGATCCTGTTAATTTTGTTTTGAGATTTTGTTCTGTTAAGCGATCCTCTTTCCAACATTAACAATTCGACGAACATTTACCAAGAAAACACAAGAGAGCAAACTAAGTAAATGATGACATATCTTAAGAAGTTCTTTTCTTCAAGAAGTTTGATCTATATATTAATGCCCCTTGGTAGTTGTACTGTACAAGGCTAGCATGCTTGCTACCAAGTAGGATCAGGTCCTAAGTAAATATGTGCTTCCTTATCACAGTCTCCTGTCCTGTGCTCATCCATGTTGTTGTATGACAATCACAGTTTTGAAACTTTAGAGTTCTCAGATGATCCTTTCATGCTTGTTCACTGACAGGAAAGGGAAGTTTAGGGAGGGATGATACTTGGTCATGAACCACTGCAGCTCTGGTTTCCTGTGAAAGCCTTGGAAGGGGCTGAGGAGCTATTGACAAGCAATGACTGGTAGGGAGGGAGTTTTCCTTAGTGACATGGTCCCTAGTAGGTCGACCTTGCTCTAGTGGATGGCCCTATGGCCTAACTGTACACACACATGCGTGCGTGCGGACACACACACACACACACGCACACATGTGTGCGCACACATATATATATGTATATACATATATATATATATATATATATTGTACAAATTGGATCAAGGAATATTGGATAAAAGAAGAGGGCATCAAGGAGAGAAGTGATGGAGTGAATATGATCAAAATACATTGTATGTATGTGTGAAGTTCTCAAGGAATTAATAAAAATATTATGCTCAAAGGCTACCTAGTAATATATAAGATTTGAAACAGGAACAGTTTGGTCCCGGGTCATTAGCTACTCTCTCAGAACCTTGAGTCACAGTGTCATTTTGTCCTCTTATTTTCTAGGTGTCTGATAATATCTTCTTTTCATTTCCACTACTGAAAAAAATGTCTCTCATAGCCTTCTGACCTCTTTTACATTCTCAGGACCACCTCAAGCAGCCCTTTCCTGTGTCTGGACTGTCTTTCTACTGCTGGTCTAGCTCTCATCCAGTGAATGGTTACATCAGTTCCCGGAGGAGTTGGAGGGCTTTCGTCATCCCTGAGAAGAAGGCAATAGTATTAACCACAGAATGATTCTCTGGTGTGCACTTTTTTTTTTCCCCTCTGTGATCTCAGGGCCAGCTTTTTTCCATCCCATCTCTTTAAAAGAAGGTATTTATTATTCATTTGTGTATGTGTGTGCACACATGCATGTGTGCTCGTGCAACTGTGCTTGTGTAGATGGCATGCGTGTGGTGGTCATTGGCCTACTTTTGTAGAGTTGTGTTTCTCCTTCCACCTTTATGCAGGTTTGGGGGATCCAGCTCAGGTCACCAAGCTTCCACGGCAAGCGTCTTTGCCTGCTGAGCCATCTTGCCCTTCCATTCCATTTCAGTGTAGCCTTCTGACCTAGAATCTCTTCCTCAAGCTATCTACTCAGAAAGCTCAGTTATCACAGATGTTCTTTGTCTCCTTCTTCTTGTCCATTAGGTTAACTTTGCACTCACCTTTCAGTGGCAAGTGAAAGCAAACAAAGCCCAAGGGGCTCAATTAGAAACAGGAATTAGGAAGGGACTGGTAAATCCAGCAATTAGATAAGCTTCAAGTGGCTTAAGTTTCGGATTTGAATTTATTCTTCCTTTCTCTATTTCTTCTATTTACGTCCTCTCTTCTCACCCAGGCTGTTCTTCATGAATCCAAGATGGTTGCCTTTTCATATGGTGTGTGCTTCCTGGATCAATGTCAGAGAAATACAATAATCCTTTTTTCTTAGAAGTTATTTAAAAATTTCATGACTGGATCGTATGCTTGTCCCAGACCCAGTCCTCTGTGGGTACGAGAGAAGAGAATTGCTGGTTGGTTTAATCTAACCGAGGCTCACCCGTGGAGCTGGGAGTATATCAAGTCTATCTAGAGCAGTGGCTCTCAACCTTCCTAATACTGCCACACTTTAGTACAATTCCTCATGTTGTAGTGACTTCCAACCATAAAATATTTTCATTGCTACTTCATAGCTGTAAGTGTGCTACTGTTATGAATCATAATCTAAGTATCTGATATGCAGGATATCTGATATTCAACCCCGAAAGGGTCAAGGCCCATGGATTGAGAACTGCTGGTCTAGATCATTTGTTGGAAACTTCAGGGTACTCTGAAAAGGGGAGACAGGGCTGGAGATGGCCGAGGGGTTAAAAGCATGTGAGAACCCGAGTTTGATTCCCAGTAGTTAAGTCAGGAAGCTCATAACTGCCTGAAATTCCATCACCATCTGATGCCTCTGTGCCTCTGGCTTCTGAGGGCTCCTATACTCATATGCAAGGACACAGATGCAGACACAGGTACACACACATAGACACACACACTGAAAATAAATCTTAAAATCTATGTTGGGGGAGACAAAGGAAAAAAAATTCTAAAGAAGGGCAGAGGAGGAAACAAACAAATCCATGTCTTGGGGATCTTCACCCCAGTGACTTTAACTTTGAGCCTGGAGTCACCTTTGCTCCACTCCCAGTTAGTCGTTCTTCCATTTAATCATGTTATCACAATAAAACGCCGTGAACTTTGTAGCTTTGACAAAACAGAAATTCACTTCTCATCGTTTTGTAAAACTGCAAAGTCCAAGCTCGGAGTCTGGGGACAGGATGTTTTTCACAGATGTTACTGGAATCTGTCCTCACATGGGGAAGGGCCAGTGAGCTGCTTTGCAACCTGTTTTATCAGGACAACAATGGCACGAGGGAGGATTCTATCCCAATAATTACTATGCCGTCCCCTTGGGGGTTGGAAGCAGTTTGATTTGGGGTGAAGGAAGCACAAACACTGGCAGACTTCTTGGGAAGGGTCTCTCCTTTCACGACTCTGCACTCAGTGACGTCAGTAGCCTCTCTCTGATCTCTGTCCTCTTCTACACATGTCTTTAGCAATGATTAGATTTGTCCGGCATTCAAGATTATCCCTTGCAGGAGCCAGCTGGGCACTGACTCTTAATTGACTCTCTCAGAGTGCTATCAGAGTGCTATCATTGAAGGTCTACTCACGTCACTGTTGGGATATTATGATCTAGGATGTGAAGTTCATTTGGTTTTACTCTTCCGACTATGATTCAGACTTTTGTTAGCTTCATTAACATTTATTTATTGAGACTGCTCTATAAATAAAATATAACCAGCAATGGACATTTAGCAGTGAATTCAGACTTAATTCCAGTGGCTTCTTTCAGAAGTACCCCTTTAACAAGTCCAATGGCCGTCCCATCTCAACCCCATGTGCATTCTTCTGCAACCCACTCCTTCCCTCTCTTTCTCTGGACTCTACCCCTCTACATCTCAACTTGCCTCAGTCAGTGCTTAGATTTCTGGATTTCTCAGCCCAGCAGCATTTTAAAATAAATCTTGGGCCTCAAAAATAAGATAAACAGCTTTAATTTTTTTGTTTAATCCCTCCACTCCCTTCCTAAACAGTATATTTTAATTATTATTTAGTAAAATACATTTCAGTAGTAAGAGAAAATATACCTGTTCTGTAAATTTAAAATGGTTATTTTTATACTATGTGTCTTTTACCACAATAAACATTAAAGTTGATTATGTATTACATCAACATATAAAGATAGAAGGCAAGCACAGTGGTGTGTGTGTATCTTCCTCTAGTTGTTCAGAAGGCTGAGGCATAGTTGGGAGCTCAAAGCCTGCTGGGTAACAGTGGGTTGCTATTTCAAGTACAAATGGGAAATTTTAAAATAATTTTGAAGGTAGAAAAACACACAAGTTTTTGTCTTAGCATACATACAGAAATTTTTAGAAAGAAATGTTTTTCTGTATAATGTTGTCCATTCTGAAACATAAATTTAATACTGAAATGTGGGCTTTCCTTAACCCAAGACTGCCCTGTTACAGAGATTCTCCAGTGTCACCTCTTCAATGAGCTTTTAGGAAGATGGAAATTAGGTTCCCCCTCACCCACTCTTTCATATCTACCAGGACTCCTCACTTTTGTCATCAGGATTGTAGACGCCATCAGAATTTTAATGCAATTCTTCCCAGAAACTGAAAAAAAAAATCTTCAACTTGATGTGGAAACACAAAAGACCTAGAATAGCCAAAAGAACCATAAACAACAACAACAACAACCCCCAAACTAAACCAATCAACCAAACAAAAATTCCCAGCTGTCTGAGCTAACACTCTACTTGATTTTAAGTTATATTACAGAGCTGAAACAGTAAAAACATCATGATACTGACATAAAATAGACCCAATGATCAGTGGAAGAGGACTGAGGACCCACATATAAGCCACACCCATTCAGTCACTTGATTTCTGACAGAGGCCAACAACACACACTGGAGAAAAGACAACATCTTCAACAAATGGTGCTGATTGAACTGGGTAGCTTCATGTAGAAGAATCCAACTAGGTCATTCTCTCTCCTTCTACATAAAACTCCAAATGGTCCTCAAGAAAAGACATGCCCCCTGAATCAGGCAGCATATGGAATATGCTTCAACTTGTGGACACACAAAAGGACTCTCTGAGCAGGATCCCAGTAGTATGGGCATTAAGACCAATACTTTATAAGTAAGACCACATGAAACTAAAATGTTCTGTATAGAAAAAGGCACCATCATTCAAATGAAGATGTAGCAAAAAGAATGGGGAAAAAGTAGTTATCAGCTATGCATTTAATGGAGGGTTAGTATTTACATATGCAAGGATATGAACACCTGAACATCAAGAAGACAAACAACCCAGTTTAAAAAAGGATACAAAACTAAACAGTTCTCAAAAGATGAAATACAAATGGCTGAGAGATATTTTAAAAAATGTTTAACATCCTTAGCTGTCAGGGAGATAAATGCAACTTAAAACTACTTTGAAATTTCATCTCACCCCAGTCAGGATGGCTAATATCAAAACAAAATGTAATAAAACATGCTGGGATGCATGTGGGGAAAGGGGACACTTTCTCATTCTGGTGGGAGTGCAAATGGGTGCAGTTGTTATGGAAACCAGTGTGGCTGTTCCTTAAAAAGCTAAAAAAATAAGCCTGGCTGTGGTGGCACACACCTTTAATTCTAGCACTTGGAGGTAGAGGCAGGCAGATCTCTGTGAGTTCAAAGCCAGCACAGTCTACAGATCAAGTTCCAGGTCAGCCATGGCTACACAGAGAAACTCTGTCTCAAAAAACCAAACAACCAACCAGCCAACTAAAACTAACAACAACAACAACACAACCACCACCAAAAAAAACAACTCCCCCAAACAAAATGAAAACAAGAAAAGCTAAAAATTAATCTACCATGTGATCTAGCCATGCCACTCTTGGCCATATAACCAAAGGATATGGCCCTACAGAAGCACCGGCTCATTCATATTTACTGGAACTTGTGACTAGATATGTCATAGATTCAAGAGGAGAACTTACTACCATTACTTTGCTAATGGACATAGTATACCGGCTTCTAATGACTTACTGTTATACTGATAACTGAATATGTCTCTCAACTTGCATCAGAGAAGCTTCCATCTTCAGTAAACACTGATTAACACAGGGACCTAAGGATGGTCAAAGTGGAGCGAACAAGAACCTTGGGGCTTCCCGAAGCTCAGGAATCATTGCTGAAGAGGAAATGGGAAGATCCTAAGAGGCAGAGGTGGTGGAGTACTGTAAGTAAACAGTGTTTTCTGGATAAAACAGGGCAGTTGTATGCATGAATTCATAGCAGATGAAACACCGGGCGCAAGAAGCATGCAAGCTCAAGCTACACAAAATCCCAGCACTGAGAAGGAAAGGTGGGCATGAAGCCCTACCCTCATGAAGCCCCACCCCTCATGAAGCCCCACCCCTAGCTAAGGAGCTATTTGTAACTAGTAGACAGTCAGGTTTCTTTAAGGGTGTGGTTCTTTGTGGGTTGACCACACTCCAGTGAAAGGCCACACATCCAAGAGTGTATGAACAGCACACACAAATTAGATTTTATGGTTAGAAATAAAGAATAGCACAAAGCTGGTGGGGTGAATATGATAAAAATACATTGTATAGAATTCTCAAAGAACTAATAAAAGCAAGAACAAAAAAGACTATAA